GCATCTTATAAGTCGCATCTTGTAAGTCGCATCTTATAAGTCACATCTTGTAAGTCGCATCTTTTAAGTCGCATCTTGTAAGTCACATCTTTTAAGTCGCATCTTATAAGTCGCATCTTTGAAGTCGCATCTTACAAGTCGCATCTTACAAGTCGCATCTTATAAGTCGCATCTTATAAGTCACATCTTATAAGTCGCATCTTGTAAGTCACATCTTTTAAGTCGCATCTTATAAGTCACATCTTATAAGTCACATCTTGTAAGTCGCATCTTATAAGTCGCATCTTGTAAGTCGCATCTTATAAGTCACATCTCGTAAGTCGCATCTTATAAGTCGCATCTTGTAAGTCACATCTTATAAGTCGCATCTTGTAAGTCGCATCTTTTAAGTCACATCTTATAAGTCGCATCTTTTAAGTCGCATCTTATAAGTCGCATCTTATAAGTCGCATCTTGTAAGTCGCATCTTATAAGTCGCATCTTATAAGTCACATCTTATAAGTCGCATCTTATAAGTCACATCTTATAAGTCGCATCTTGTAAGTCACATCTTCTAAGTCGCATCTTATAAGTCACATCTTATAAGTCACATCTTATAAGTCGCATCTTATAAGTCACATCTTATAAGTCGCATCTTATAGTCACATCTTATAAGTCGCATCTTATAAGTCACATCTTGTAAGTCGCATCTTATAAGTCGCATCTTATAAGTCGCATCTTATAAGTCACATCTTATAAGTCACATCTTTTAAGTCGCATCTTGTAAGTCGCATCTTATAAGTCGCATCTTATAAGTCACATCTCGTAAGTCGCATCTTATAAGTCACATCTTATAAGTCGCATCTTATAAGTCGCATCTTGTAAGTCGCATCTTATAAGTCGCATCTTATATCCGATCATTGTAAGGGAAGATACGATGAAATACAATGTAACAATACCTGACTCACATCTTTGTTTATATAGATTTTGTTGTATAATTTGTATTACTAGATAAACTATTGTTAGATTGATCAAACATGGATTACTACTACTACTACTACTATTAATACTTCTACTGCTACTATTTCTGCTACTGCTCCTACTTTTACTGCCTACTTATATTATAATTGCAGGAGGACTAGTGTGTGTGTGTGATAGATAGATAGATAGATAGAGAGAGAGAGAGAGATAGAGAGAGAGAAAGAAGAGAGAGAGAGAGAGAGAGAGAGAGAGAGAGAGAGAGAGAGAGAGGTGCAGTTAGTGATCAGGGAACTATCACTGCACCTGATCACCTACTGCGCCGAAGTACGAACAGCAGGGACACATCTGTCAGAACTAGGTAGAGGGCGGGTAGAGGACGTGGAGGAGGACGTGGAGGAGGAAGACATCTACAGCCGTCTCACCCTCCACTAACACAGTTCCAGCGCAGATATCTGAGGACAAATCTGCGAAAACACAGGAGGTGCAACAAATCCTAGTCCACCCTCCCAGGCACCTAGGCTGTGCTCTCGCTGTCACCGGAAGGGGCACTCTGCCAACACTGCCTGCGAGATACCAGGTGTAAACTACTGCTACAAGAAAGGACATAAGGAGGACCAGTGTCGGAAGAAAAAGGAACTGACAGACAGGGCCACCTGTTTAGAGACTGTTCTCAGAACAAACCAGCAGGATCTCTGAATTGGTGAACACTCTCACACGTCACGCACTTAGCTACTCCTATCCCAGCCCAGCAGGTGGGATTGGGCCTTATACACGACCACAGACCTACATCCCTGCAGCTGCCTCAGTACCCTACCTTCTCTAGAAGGGCAGGCACCTTACATTCCCTACACACCCACCACCTCAAGCTGACCACTTCATCATGAGGAGCCAGTCTATCAGCATCCTGTCGGCCAACATTAGAGGTTTCATTACTAATGTTGGAGAGCTCACACATAGCTTTGTGAACACTCGACGTCCCGACATGATAGTTGTTGTTGAAACATTTTTGGATGACAGGACTCCAGAAAATTTTGCAAGAATTGCTGGCTACACCTCATGGATGAGAAGAGACAGGCAAGGGCAAGGAGGTGGTGTTGCTGTGTGCTTCTCTAAAAGTGTTCATGCCCAGCACATAGATGTTGCCACCCCTACACATCTTGAAATGATGTTCTTCAAGCTCTGTATAAACACTAGTACCTCTGTACTAGCATGTGCAATGTACAGACCTCAGTGGCAACACGCAGACCCTATCAACTTCCATAATGGAAAATATTGACTCCCTTCTGCTACAACACAACTGTCAACATATTATAATTGTTGGTGACCTCAACCAGCACCTTATACAGAGGGACTTTGATGACCTTCTTGCAGTGTTTGACATGAGAAACTTTGTTGATTTCCCTACTCATATCTCTGGCTCCTCCCTTGACCCAGTAGTGAGTGATCTGGCAGAAGGCATAGTCACTTGTCAACCCCTCGGCTACGTTGGATCGTCTGACCACAAGGCTGTTTTTACCACACTTAGATCCAACAGAACGAGGTGAGGAGTCCACACGCACAACCTGGCTATGGGAAAGAGGTAACTGGCCAGCCCTTTGCTCTGAGCTCGCCACCACCGACTGGAATGCTCTTCTCCAGGGGGATGTTGACAACCAAGTGAAAGCTTCACTGGACACATCCTTAATCTGCACAAGAACACATTCCTCACCGGCAATATGTGACAAAGCCTACAGATCAGCCTTGGTTGGCTTTCGTTGTAGAGAGGCTGCTACTGCTAAGTTCAAAGCATGGCGAAGGTATAAGAGACATCCTACCACCTATAACAGAACTTGCACATGCAAGCCTGTAGGCATATGGGTGATGTTCAAAAGTGGGCCATTGCTAAATGGAGGTGGACACTAAAGAAAGTTAGCATCAGGTAGGGTAGGCTCCAAAACCTGGTGGTCCCTGGTCAAGGACAGACAAGGTTATCTGCCTGATGAACTTATTCCACCTCTAAATCGACAGGATGGGACCAACCTCTACTAGTAGTCAAGAGAAGGCGGACCTCTTTGCTGAACACTTTGCTACCAAAATGCAAGTTCTGATCCAGCAAGGGACCCTCCTTGGCTAGCTGCAAGAACTGTGTCAAAACTGTCAGTGGTGACAATAAGGCAGGAGGAGGTGCATTTCCTTCTTAAATCACTTGACCAAGAAAAGGCTGTGGGCCCAGACGAGTTGAGCCCAAGATTGTTGAGAAGATGTGCAGACCAGCTAGCAGCACCTCTAACTCGCATCTTTCAGCACTGCCTAGTACAGTGTAAATGGCCCTCTCCATGGAAAGAGGCAAATGTAGTCCCTGTTCACAAAAAGAAGAGCAGAGCAGAAATCAGCAACTACAGACCAGTGTCACTCCTGTCAATCACTGGTAAGATCCTTGAAACAATTATCTCAAGACAAATGACAGATTTTTTGACTACCACTCACTACTTTGTGATCGTCAATATGGCTTCAGGAAAGGTTACTCTGCTGCTGATCTGTTGCTAAACCTCTCCACTAAGTGGCACCAGTCACTGGATGAATCCAAAGTCAGCTGTGTGGTAGCACTGGACATTGCTGGCGCTTTCGACCGGGTGTGGCCACCAGGGCCTCTTAGCAAAACTTCAAGCACTGGGAATTGCAGGCTCTACGCTATGTCTCCTCAGTGATTACCTTCATGGTAGATCTCTAAGTGTAGTCCTCAATGGAACGGAATCAGCAAGGCATCCTATTGGGGCAAGCGTTCCACAAGGAAGCGTGCTGGGTCCACTGTTATGGAATGTCTACTTCAACGACCTTCATCTCATCCCAGAATCACATGCATATGCAGACGACTGTACACTGACATTCACTTATCCAAGAGAAGAAATGCCAGCTGCTCTAAGCTACATCAATCACCAGCTGAGAGCTATATCAGCTTGGGGAAATAGATGGCAAGTAACATTTGCACCTGAGAAAACGCAAATGATGATCGTCCTCTAGGCACCATGATGGTAATGCTGGCGCAGTAGTAAGGATGAATGGGAGGATGTTGGCACCTGGAGAAGAAGTTGATTATCCTTGGGGTGAAATTTGACTCCAACTAACCATGAAGAACCATGTTGTAAATCTTGCAAACAAGGCAGCCAGGAAGCTTACAGCACTTCGCCGTGTCTCGCATCTGCTTGACAGTAGGGGTTTGCAAGATCCTATACGAGGCACAAGTACGCTCACACCTTGAGTATGCTCCACTTTCTTGGTTTGCCTGCCCCCCTCTCATCTGCGACTGCTGGACAGAGTAGAGAACAGAGCAAGACGTCTCATCTCTCGCCTGGACCCATCCTGGATAGATCTGTCATTTCAGCAGAGCCTTCAACATAGGAGGGATGTGGGTGGCCTTACTGTTATGTACAAGGCCAATATTGTCAAAATACCACACTTGGATCCACTTCGAGGACAGCGTGAAACAAGCTTTTATGCCACAAGACGGGCAGAAAGCAGCAACTTCACTCTGGCTGTACCCTTCTCCAGAACATCACTCCATCTGAGATCATACATACCCAGGATGACTCGAGTATGGAACACATTCGTACAGCATAATGATATCAACGAGATAAAGTCAGTTGATCAAATGAAAAATGCTGGCCCACAGATGGCTCCAACTTCATCCTGTCCCGTACTTGTATGTCTCATAACAATAAAAATGCTTTCAAATGAGCTGATGTAGGTAACAGCTCTTAGCTTGCCAATAAAGTTAGGATCCTAACCTTGTCAAACCCTGTGTAAAAAAAAAAAAAAAAAAAAAAAAAAAAGAGAGAGAGAGAGAAAGAGAGAAAGAGAGAGAGAAAAGAGAGAGAGAGAGAGAGAGAGAGAGAGAGAGAGAGAGAGAGAGAGAGAGAAAAGAGAGAGAGAGAGAGAGAGAGAGAGAGAGAGAGAGAGAATACCTTCCTTACCCAGGATACAACCCACAGCAGTGGAACAACACCCAGGTACCTATTTACTGCTAGGTAAAGGGTGAGACGTGGGCATGTGGGATGACTTACCTATCGTGCCTCGCACCGCTGCCATCCCTGAGGCTGCCATTACCATCACCATCACTGCCACCAGCTGCCAACACTGTAGTGCCATCTGTAAGAAATCACACATACATTAACACCACTACTATACACTGTGTATATATTATATATATATTTTAATATATATATATATATATATATATATATATAATATTATATATATATATATATATATATATGTATATATATGTATATATATGCAAGGAGTTTTAATGTAAGCGAGTGTTTGGTTATGTCTTGTCAAGTAACCTAAGACGCTGACAGACTCATGTTAACTGAGGTCGTTCAAGAAAGTCTTAAGATTACAAAGTCATTCTTAAGATACGTATCGTCACCCCGGCTGACCTTAACTATAAATATACGTATGTTTTGATCTCGCTTTATGGTAAGAGATTTTGATTTTGGATCGTCTCGTAGACTTTAATGAACTCAGTAGTGATCGTTCTATTCTGAGTAGTATAGAGATATATATTTATTGTACTGTTTCTGCTACCAGCGTTACCTCTACCACCTGCTATCAGCGTTACCTCTACCACCTGCTACCAGCGTTACCTCTACCACCTGCTACCAGCGTTACCTCTACCACCTGCTATCAGCGTTACCTCTACCACCTGCTACCAGCGTTACCTCTACCACCTGCTATCAGCGTTACCTCTACCACCTGCTACCAGCGTTACCTCTACCACCTGTTTCAGCGTTACCTCTACCACCTGCTACCAGCGTTACCTCTACCACCTGCTATCAGCGTTACCTCTACCACCTGCTATCAGCGTTACCTCTACCACCTGCTATCAGCGTTACCTCTACCACCTGCTACCAGCGTTACCTCTACCACCTGCTACCAGCGTTACCTCTACCACCTGCTACCAGCGTTACCTCTACCACCTGCTATCAGCGTTACCTCTACCACCTGTTATCAGCGTTACCTCTACCACCTGCTATCAGCGTTACCTCTACCACCTGTTATCAGCGTTACCTCTACCACCTGTTATCAGCGTTACCTCTACCACCTGTTATCAGCGTTACCTCTACCACCTGTTATCAGCGTTACCTCTACCACCTGTTATCAGCGTTACCTCTACCACCTGTTATCAGCGTTACCTCTACCACCTGCTACCAGCGTTACCTCTACCACCTGCTATCAGCGTTACCTCTACCACCTGTTATCAGCGTTACCTCTACCACCTGTTTATCAGCGTTACCTCTACCACCTGCTATCAGCGTTACCTCTACCACCTGTTATCAGCGTTACCTCTACCACCTGTTATCAGCGTTCCCTTTCTACCACCTGTTATCAGCGTTACCTCTACCACCTGCTACCAGCGTTACCTCTACCACCTGCTCTGTATAGTCCTTGTGGCTTAGCGCTTCTTTTTGATTATAATAATAATAATCTACCACCTGCTATCAGCGTTACCTCTACCACCTGTTATAAGCGTTACCTCTACCACCTGTTATCAGCGTTACCTCTACCACCTTTTTATCAGAGTTACCTCTACCACCTGTTATCAGCGTTACCTCTACCACCGTTATCAGCGTTACCTCTACCACCTGCTACCAGCGTTACCTCTACCACCTGCTATCAGCGTTACCTCTACCACCTGTTATCAGCGTTACCTCTACCACCTGTTATCAGCGTTACCATCTACCACCTGCTACCAGCGTTACCTCTACCACCTGCTATCAGCGTTACCTCTACCACCTGTTATCAGCGTTACCTCTACCACCTGTTATCAGCGTTACCTCTACCACCTGTTATCAGCGTTACCTCTACCACCTGCTACCAGCGTTACCTCTACCACCTGCTATCAGCGTTACCTCTACCACCTGTTATCAGCGTTACCTCTACCACCTGCTACCAGCGTTACCTCTACCACCTGCTATCAGCGTTACCTCTACCACCTGCTATCAGCGTTACCTCTACCACCTGTTATCAGCGTTACCTCTACCACCTGCTACCAGCGTTACCTCTACCACCTGCTATCAGCGTTACCTCTACCACCTGCTATCAGCGTTACCTCTACCACCTGCTATCAGCGTTACCTCTACCACCTGCTACTAGTGTAACCTGTACCGCCTGCTATCAGCGTTACCTCTACCACCTGCTATCAGCGTTACCTCTACCACCTGCTATCAGCGTTACCTCTACCACCTGCTACCAGTGTAACCTGTACCACCTGCTACCAGTGTAACCTGTACCACCTGCTATCAGCGTTACCTCTACCACCTGCTATCAGCGTTACCTCTACCACCTGCTACCAGCGTTACCTCTACCACCTGCTATCAGCGTTTCCTGTTCCACTTGCTACCATCGTTACCTCTACCAGTGTAACCTGTACCACCTGCTATCAGCGTTACCTCTACCACCTGCTATCAGCGTTACCTCTACCACCTGCTATCAGCGTTACCTCTACCACCTGCTATCAGCGTTTCCTGTTCCACTTGCTACCAGCGTTACCTCTACCACCTGCTACCAGTGTAACCTGTACCACCTGCTATCAGCGTTACCTGTAATACCTGCTATCAGCGTTACCTCTACCACCTGCTACTAGTGTAACCTGTACCACCTGCTATCAGCGTTACCTCTACCACCTGCTACCAGTGTAACCTGTACCACCTGCTATCAGCGTTACCTGTACCACCTGCTATCAGCGTTTCCTGTTCCACTTGCTACCAGCGTTACCTATACTACCTGCTATTAGCGTTACCTCTACCACCTGCTATCAGCGTTACCTGTACCACCTGCTACCAGCGTTACCTCTACCACCTACCAGCGTTACCTCTACCACCTGCTACCAGTGTAACCTGTACCACCTGCTATCAGCGTTACCTGTTCCACTTGCTACCAGCGTTACGTATACTACCTGCTATCAGCGTTACCTGTACCACCTGCTACCAGTGTTACCTGTACCACCTGCTATCAGCGTTACCTCTACCACCTGCTATCAGCGTTACCTCTACCACCTGCTATCAGCGTTACCTCTACCACCTGCTATCAGCGTTACCTGTACCACCTGCTATCAGCGTTTCCTGTTCCACTTGCTACCAGCGTTACCTCTACCACCTGCTATCAGCGTTTCCTGTTCCACTTGCTACCAGCGTTACCTCTACCACCTGCTACCAGCGTTATCTCTACCACCTGCTACCAGCGTTACCTCTACCACCTGCTACCAGTGTAACCTGTACCACCTGCTATCAGCGTTACCTGTACCACCTGCTATCAGCGTTTCCTGTACCACCTGCTACCAGCGTTACCTGTACCACCTGCTATCAGCGTTACCTCTACCACCTGCTACCAGTGTTACCTGTACCACCTGCTGTCAGCGTTTCCTGTACCACTTGCTACCAGCGTTACCTATACTACCTCCTACCAGCGTTACCTCTTACACCTGCTACCAGTGTTACCTGTACCACCTGCTGTCAGCGTTTCCTGTACCACTTGCTACCAGCGTTACCTATACTACCTCCTACCAGCGTTACCTCTACCACCTGCTACCAGTGTTACCTGTACCACCTGCTGTCAGCGTTTCCTGTACCACTTGCTACCAGCGTTACCTATACTACCTCCTACCAGCGTTACCTCTACCACCTGCTACCAGTGTTACCTGTACCACCTGCTGTCAGCGTTTCCTGTACCACTTGCTACCAGCGTTACCTATACTACCTCCTACCAGCGTTACCTCTATCACCTGCTACCAGTGTTACCTGTACCACCTGCTGTTAGCGTTTCCTGTACCACTTGCTACCAGCGTTACCTATACTACCTCCTACCAGCGTTACCTCTACCACCTGCTACCAGTGTTACCTGTACCACCTGCTGTCAGCGTTTCCTGTACCACTTGCTACCAGCGTTACCTATACTACCTCCTACCAGCGTTACCTCTATCACCTGCTACCAGTGTTACCTGTACCACCTGCTATTAGCGTTTCCTGTACCACTTCTACCAGCTTTACCTATACTACCTCCTACCAGCGTTACCTCTATCAAATGCTACCAGCGTTACCTGTACCACCTGCTATCAGCGTTACCTCTACCACCTGCTACCAGCATTACCTCTACCACCAGCTACCAGCATTACCTCTACCACCTGCTACAGCTCCTGGCCCGGCTACTAGGTCCACTCTCTCCCTGCTCCACGAGATTTATCATACCTCTTCTTAAAGCTATGTATGTTTCCTGCCTCCACTACATCACTCTCCAGATTGTTCCACTTCCTGACAACTCTATGGCTGAAGAAATGCTTCCTAACATCCGTGTGAGTGTGAGTCACCTGACCAGCTGGTGTACACTAGAGGTCAGTATTGCACCAGTCACTACACCTGCACAGTCACTCTTCAACAGTCTACTGTTACCCGTTATCTTCCCACTATCCTCACTTACTGTTATATTGTTGTTATTACTGTTATTATTATTATTATTATTATTATTATTATTATTATTATTATTATATTATTATTATTATTATTATTATTATTATTATTATTATTATTATTATTATTATTATTATTATTATATTATTTTATTATTATTATTATTATTATTTTTATTTTTATTATTATATTATTATTATTATTATATTATTATTATTATTATTATTATATTATTATTATTAGTAGTAGTAGTAGTACTGTTTATTATTATTATTATTATTATTATTATATATTATTATTATTATTATTATTATTATTATATTATTATTATTATTATTATTATATTATTATTATTATTATCATTATTATTATTATTATTAGTAGTAGTAGTAGTACTGTTATTATTATTATTATTATTAGTGTAGTAGTAGTAGTAGTAGTAGTAGTATTCTTATTATTATTATTAATTATTATTATTATTATTATTATTATTATTAGTAGTAGTAGTACTATTATTTTATTAATTATTATTATTATTATTATTATTATTTATTATTATTATTAGTTAGTGTAGTAGTAGTAGTAGTAGTAGTAGTAGCAGCGTAGTAGTAGTAGTGGTGGTAGTAGTAGTAGTAGTGTGGTGGTAGTCAGTAGTAGTAGTAGTAGTGGTGGTGGTAGTAGTAGTAGTAGTAGTGGTGGTGGTGGTTGGTAGTAGTAGTAGTAGTAGTAGTAGCGGTGGTAGTAGTAGTAGGAGTGGTGGTTAGTAGTAGTAGTAGTGGTGGTAGTAGTAGTAGTAGTAGTAGTGGTGGTAGTAGTAGTAGTAGTAGTGGTGGTGGTGGTGGTAGTAGTAGTAGTAGTAGTAGTGGTGGTAGTAGTAGTAGTAGTGGGTGGTAGTAGTA